TGATTCTATGACTCGCCAGCTGCCCCTGCCTGCACGGGAAGGGATGTGGAAGAGGAGCCTCCAGCCCTGCAGATGGCTTGCAGAAAACCTTCTGCCCTCCAAGGCATTACCCTTGGGGCATGTCAGGGCACGCAGCAGTGGGTAGAAAGAGAAGAAGATGGTGTAAGGAGCCTTACGGCAGATTCTCTGTGTCCGGGCATCCCCAGGGCAGCAGCTATGGCTGAGCAACCCTTTGGGGTGGTGTTGCCTTTTGGGGCAGGCCAGGAGAAGCCAAGGTGGGATGGGGAAGGTGTGTGGGGGAGCAGGTTATGCACTGAGGCTCAGCAATGCTTTCCTGGCACGAGAACTACTTCTGGTCTGATGGGGTTTGCAGTGATGCCCTAATCCTCACGGTCAGCAGGTTTCTGGATGAGGCTGGCTTTGTGGTCTTCCCCATTGGGTGCGTTTCCTCGGTGTGCACTGAGCTTTGCGGGCTCCTGCGCTGCGTCCCCCATGGCGCCTGCCCGAGCTGCGGGCAGGGCTGCCTTGTACGGGCATTTTGGAGCGTGGCAGCCTGCCTGCAGCTGAGCGCCGGGGGCACCTCGGGGGCCAGAAACGCTCCCTGCTGCCCTTCCTCCAGCAGCAGCACCCTGCAGAAAGGGAGCCTGCAACGGCCGCTGCTGACGATGACACCTTGCTGAAGGGCGGCTGCTTTGGGTTTCCCTTTCCCCGTGCTTCCCAGGGAGGAAAAGCTGCTCAGGGGCGGGGGAATAAGCAGCTCCTCCAGCTCAGGGGAAAGCTGGAAGCTGCTGGCTTAGGGCGACACAGCCAGGGTCTGGCTTGGGCACAGCCCGGGAATAGCCTGGAGTGAGTCAGCACTGATTTCCTCGGGTGTGAGGTGTCGGGATGTTTGGCAGATTGAGACACCCGCGAGCTGCCAGTGGGTTTGGCCAGTTAAAATTCCTTGCAATCTCTTTGGGATTCCAGGTCTTTGCAATGCACAAAGCCATTTGCAGGGCTTTATGTCTAGTTTAGGGGTACCTTGAGCTCTTTCTGTTTCTCTTTCTCAAAACAGGTAGTTTTCATAGAATCATGGAATGGTTTGGGTTGGAAGGGACCTTAAAGCCCATCCAGTTCCAACCCCCCTGCCATGGGCAGGGACACCTTCCACTAGACCAGGTTGCTCCAAGCCTCATCCAGCCTGGCCTTGGACACTTCCAATTTCTTAGTTTTGCTGAAGATAAAGTGTTTTCAGCACCTTTTCCTCTGCTGCCCTTGTTGCTGTACCAGAAACACGTGCCCTTCTTGCACAGGTAATTACAGGTTCAGTGTGGGATGGCAGGTGCCGTGTCGGGGCGGCACTGGGCAGGGAAGGGATGTGCTGTAGTCAGGGGGGGATGCCCTGCTCGGATTGAAAGCAGGATGAGAGTAATTCATCCCAAACCCTTTATTTCTCAACTGTTTTCCTTAAAAGCTTTCCTGCCACAGGATTTGGAGCTGCTGGATGGATGGGTTGGGAAGGAGAAGGCTGTGCCCCAGCCACGGGGTTCCCGTGGGCAATGAGGCCATGGGCAGAAGTGCAGGCAAGGTGGGTGCCAGGCTGAGCATTCCCTCGAGTTCCAGCTGTCCAAGGCACCAACTTATCCTCCTTTGGCACCTCCAGATTTTCTGACATCTTGTTCCGAGTCCCAGCATCTCCCCCCAGACCTTTCTACATCTAAAAATGGAATAAAAACCAGGCTGTTTTCCAGCAACCTTCGGAACCAGCAGTCCCGAAGCTTGGTTTGACCCTCACACTTGGGGTTTCATGTTTATAGGATGCCTGCACCAGTGTTGAAATCCCAGGCGAGTGCTGCCCGGCTCGCAGGGTGCTCAGCCCCACCACCGCTTGCGTAGCAGCTGAAAAACACACCCGCCAGATACTTGAGACCCTACCACGTGTGTGAAATATGTAGGTCACTTCCAGAGGCTGGGGCTCTCCTGGCAGCATGGTCCCTCCCCAGGCTGGGGTCTCTGGGACATCCCCTGGTCCCCATGGACCCCTGCTTCGGGTATCAGCTCAGATTTTTACCTTTTGAGGTTACAGGGAATCCAATGAGAGCAGCTTTAGCTTTTCATCCTGGCTTTTGCTATGGGATCTTTATTTTCTTGCAGCACCCCAAATCTAAGTGGTTCCTGATATCCATGGTGAGGTATGCTAGTGCCCCTAGAGCTTGTCCAGGTGGGATTTCCCCGCTGAGCAAGTGGGGATAGCTGGGGATTACAGGGCCTGGAGGGAGCAGAGCGGAAGGAGGCCGGAGAGGAGACCTTGGTGCTGAGGAGTGCAGGAGAGGGTTGACAGGAGGCAGTGGGATGCTGGCATCCATGGCATCACCTCTGGGGGTGTACACTCCTGCACATGGCTTGATATCACCATTTGTTTTTCTACAGGACAACGTTGCTGGTGCTGGGGGGGAGCCGCTACACAGTCCTGCAAAGTGAGCCTTGTCTTCATCTAACACAACCCTTCCTGCCTCCTCCTTCCAGAACAGCTCGTGCTGGGAGCCCACAAAGAGCTGTCCCGGCGCTGGGATGCCGACTACGACGCCTTCGTGCTGCCTTTGCTGGACGAGCAGCAGCCGTGCTACGTGCTGTACCGCCTGGACAGCCAGAACGCCCAGGGCTACGAGTGGCTCTTCATCTCCTGGTCCCCCGACAGCTCCCCGGTGAGCACCGCGGCGGGCTGGGACACCCCGGTGTGCTCTGGAGGGGGGGCAGATGCTGTCCTGGTTGATGATGTCCTGGGGCTGAGAAGGAGCGGTCACATCCTCCATCACCATGCCCGGGTTATGAAGAAGCAGGGACCGTTTGGGGGATGGGGGAGTTTTTTAAGACAGAATAAGATACACTGGGCTGTATCTCTCCTCTTTGCAGTGCTGAGTGAGGAGGTGGAGGGACCGGGATGTAGGGAGGGGAGCGGGCCACGGGGCCGGGATGGAGACATCCCACCACGGCTCTGGCCAAAAGCATTGCTGGGGAGGGCGGGCGCTGGCACGGACTCTCCTGGCCCTGCTGTGCTCGAGGGCTGGCGCAGGGCGGCTGCTGGCTCATCTCCGGGCCCCGCTCCAAAATCAGCCTTAAAAAGGGCCAGGCAGGCTGGGTTC